GTTAACATTTGAGGAAATACATAAATTGCGAGCYGATGGTTCTCGTGCAGCTCCAAGTAAAAAACCAAGTCAAGTGAAGAAAACGGGTCGTGCAAACAAAAACAGGTACACATGTAGTTTCTCTTGTTATTTTTTCTTTTTTTGTGTGTTCTTTCAGTTGTTTGGTATTTTTGTTAATCTTTGGTGTTTCTTTTGCTATGAAAAAAGACCAATGGAGTTAAGTTGTAGTAAACCTGTGTCTCGATATAGAGAGGTAGTTCATGTTCCAAAGAAGGTAATAAGTTCGAGCATTGAGAAAATTCAAATCTCTTTTTCTCTTATTTCTTTCTCCCAAAGTGTTTGATCCTGGGGTGTATAGTTGTTGAGCTTTTGTTCTTTGTTTGCATTCAGGTGGTTCGCGATCCTCGCTTTGACTCATTGGGTGGAAAACTTGATGTTGAGGGGTATCTAGATCTAACTCTTGTGAACATATAAGCATTTATAGTTCGCTCATTGTTCTTGTTTGAGTGAACGTAAGTTTTGTAACTGTTGTAGGTTCAGGAAACGATACAATTTCTTTTTCGAGGACAAACTTCCTGTAGAAAGAGAGGTATAGATTGATGCTAAGTGCTGAATTTTGTTGTTTTTCCAATTTGTCTCAGTGCTCTTTACTTTTATTTTCCGGGGTTCTTGAAACAGGAACTGAAAAAGCAGCTAAAGAAAACAAGGGATCCAGAGCAGGTCCACGAACTAAAGAACCGGTTAAGTTATGTTGTAAGTGATCCTTTCTTTTGCGTCTCGTTCTATCTAAATTCTGTTTCACCGGCTTCTGCTAAAACTCTCTGATCATTTGTTTGTTTTCTTGCCTTTGGTTCTGTTTATAATATCTCAGGAGAAATGGTTGAAATATGATCCATCAACAAATAACAAAGGGAAAGCAATACTAACAGAACACAAAAAGAAAGAACGAGAAGCGGCAAAAGAGGGGAAACAGCCTTACTATCTCAAGAAATGTATGTCCTTAGGATTCTTGCTCGAAAGTCCCAAGTTTGGGTTGAAACATAACGATTTTGAGTTTTTGTTTGCCAACAATTTACTGAATCGTTTTCTCTTCTTATGCAGCGGAAATTCGAAAGCAAATGCTCATTGAAAAGTACAACAGTCTCAAGGTATGTAAATCAGTTTTGAATCGAAAGGTAAAATGTTTGTATAAAAAGAGAATCACTGAATTGGTTGTTTTTGTACAATCCAGGAATCTGGGAAGCTTTCATCGTATATTGACAAACGGAGGAAGAAGAATGCGACAAAGGATCACAGGTACATGCCCTATCGTCGAGCCAGTGCCTCGGAGCAATAGAGAGAGACAGTTTTGGTTACAGACCGATCTTTTTACATCGGTCCAGGACAGGCTTTGTGGCGGTCTTTGTGATGTAGTACTTAAATTTATGCTTTGAGAATTGAAAGCCAAATTCTGCTTCACTTTCCTTTTTTCTTTTGAAAGTCAATTCCAGCACAATATTTTGACTTTTGTAATGAAGCTACTGTACCTTTGATCAGAACAAAAAAAAGTAATGAAGCTACCTTTGTTTTTTGGTTTTCAAGATTTTTAAAATAAACAACTTCAAGCGATCAAACAATCTAGCTTAAGCTTATTGATTTTTCTAATTAAGTATAGTTGACATGCATATTAATTTGATTGATCGCTAATATATCTTGTGTTGTTGTGTTTCATTCTTTTAAAATTTCACTAATATATCTATATATTAGATCTATAGAGATAATGATTAACATTTCAAAAACCTTATATGAGTGTTGTATATATATATATATATCACCGTATATTAATTAAGAGATGACATGCTTACCATTTATCAACACAAAAAGTAAAGTTCATGTGTGTTAAGCAAAGATCGTAAACAGCCTTAACGCAGATTTTAGTATCATAATCAGACAAATATAAAAGATTGTCCAAATCCTAAACGAAAGGAATTTCTCACTATACATTATCATTGGCATAAATTAAGCAGCTTAATTATTTGCTCGTTTTGGAAATGTTGACTAATACACACAATTACTCAGTCACTATATAAACACACCATGCTAACACAACCAACATTCACAACTTACAAAAAACAATATCATCTAAACTTTTATCATATCATCTAGAGAAAAAGAAACTCTCTTTAATTTTTTTTTTTTTAAGAAATGGAGAGCAAAAGAGTAGCAATGTTGGTGACTATGATGATAGTAATGGTGATAGGGAACCTTGTGGTTCAAACAGAGGCTCAGAAAATACCATTCATAGAATGTTATCCAGCTTGTCTTATGATATGTAAATCTGAATCAAAGTTCCCAAAGTATCTCAAGTGTCCCATTCACATGTGTTAAAACCTGTATGCACCCACCTTCTCTACAATCAAACAAAATCGATGATTTTGATTATTTTTGTAAACTTGGTTGTGCAACTCATCATTGTGTTTCCCTTTCCTCCATCCAAAATCCTAGTAAGTTTCTTGTATATTTTTTTTTGCTGTTTTCCTTTTGTAAATTTCATATCAAAATATAGCTGATATTATATTTCAAAAATAAAAATGAAAATATATAGCTGATATTTAATTTTGTGAATTCTAATATTTTTGTTTTTTTGTGTGTTATGGACAGATGTGGAGAGAGTCTCAGCCTGTGTGGATTCATGCTCCAACAAGTGTACCAAGAAAAACTAGAAGCGGTATTATTTTTATTTTTATTTTTATTCTACAATAATTGGTGTTTTTAGCCAAAAAGAAAAGAATTGATGTCTAAATAAAAAGATATGAACCATTAGTTTGTATCAATTCAACTATTAAATAAAACACGAATTTATTTTGTTATTCAATATATTGTGTGTTACAATAAAATTCAAGTGATATGACCATATATAAAATAGCTAAAATGAAGGAGAGAATGTTCCATACTCACAAAGTCACAGTTGTGGAAACTGATCACTTATATATATACCCACGACGATTACGCATTTAGAGTGTTTATGGACAAAAAGCAAAAGAAGTCTGTAAATACGGCATTTAGAGTGTTAAGGTACATTTTTATTCCATAAGCAAGTTATATAGAGATCTCTAGTTTGTAAACGAAGAATATAAAAGATTAATTACCCTATTTTTTATATAAAAGTTAGTATATATTTATGTCAAAGTTAGTATATAATTACATTCTTATAAAAAAAGTTTTAACATATTTAAGTTAGAAGTTATTGGTTTCATAATCCTGTGTTATTCGTAATATGATTTTTTTTAAATCTTAGTTAACTCAAGTGCTATTCAATCTTGTTATCAAACGATGGTGTGTGAAACCCATAATTGAACAATTATGTAAAGTTTACAAAAATCTACTTTCAAATGCAAACAAACTTATTTTAATGTATTGGATTTACAATGAGAGGTTTTAAAAATATTGTTTTAACATTGAATTTATGCTAATTAAAACACTATAAGCTCCTATTTTAAATATGACTTGGAGACATATAATTAGATCTATTAATGATTTCTCTTATGATATTAATATCTCTTTTAAATAGTATTAAAGACATAGATATTATTATTCATGTTTCAATAGCCATATGTCACCATTTTAACATAGGGTTCTTTAACATGCACACAATATATAAATTTTCACACACAAACATAGCCAACATCAAAAAAAAAACATATCCAACACAAATAAATCACATTCATGCATGTAAGTAAACTATATTAAACAAAAAAAAAGGTTAATCTATATTTTTATAAACAACTAATATAGCGAATTAATGGAAATAAATAAATCCACCATGGCTTTGCATCTCTAATCATTATGCATTATCCCTAAACCCTATATAAACAAACCATATATTGTTAGCACAACCAACATTCACAATTAACAAAAAAAAAAAAATGGAGAGCAAAAGAGTTGCAATGGTTACAATGATGATAGTGATAGTAATGGGAAACCTTCTGGCTGAAACAAGAGCTGAGAAAATTCCTTTTATGCAATGTTTTCCTTCTTGTCTTGTAGAGTGTAAAGGTGATTTACAAAAGTTTCCACAGTATATGATTTGTCCATTTACGTGTCTCAAAGCTTGTCTTCATCCAACTCCATCTACTCCTCCTCCTTCTTCGAGTTCTCTCTTTTCTGAGAAAATTATGGACCAAAGTGATGATTTATGCAAATTCGGTTGTGCTGTGCATCGTTGTGCTTCCCTTTCTACTATCCAAGATCCAAGTAAGTTATCCCTTTTTGTATACATAAAGTGGAAGTTGATTATTAGAACATGTAAAAATTCTTTCTCTAAACGTATGTTTTAATATCTAATATTATTGATTCTAAAGATG